TGAAAAAAGACAAAGTGTGTTTATGCAAAATAATCACTTGTGGTGACTTATGAAAGATTGAATTACTAAGTAATAATCTTTTTAGGCCATCAGGTCTCCCTGCCTACCTTTCACATGTACCTGGTAAAAGATTAGCTATTTCTTCCTCTTTGAAGGAACTTCCACACCAGTTATGATATCCATACTTCATGCATACTGTGGGCAAATGTATTATTACTTGAATTTTAGGGTACGCTGGCTACCAGGTTCATAGTTCCAGGAAGCCACAAGTTCACATGAGAATGCAGAATGAAACGGGAAAGCTTTGTCGCTAAGTCTCTGTCTAGAGGCAGAATTCAGAAGGCATTGTGCAGGTAACTCAGGACAGATACCTGCACTGGCATAGCCTCCACCAACTATTAGTTTGGGCAGTTTTGAAAACACTGACAAGTTTTTCTGTTTTGGTGAGTCTTAAAGATGTTTTCATATATTAAAAAAACACGAAAATACTAAAACTGTACAACCTACTATATTGAAAACATAACTTTTTGCTTAGGCTTAGGAAAAATATATATTTCATGTTTAACAGAGATAGGAATTTAAATGTAGCAGCCAACTAGCAACAAGAGTAAAGTTTTTTTCCAGAATACTCTAACAAAAGTAGTCTGTTTGATCTCTTCTTTCTGGTTAAAATAACAGTAGGAACATCTACAGAAAGCGCCTACAGTCATCCTGCGTGGGTAGGCTATCTGTTCTGTCCTAGTATAGTTGCCAGCACACAGGCTGTAGCCTTTTTACTGAGGGAGGTCAGAGACCCTTCACAACCATTCTTCATAGAGTTTGTCTTAGACCAACTTGAGTCTTAAGGCATGACCAGTAGACCACTGTCCAGGGAGCATCTGTCACTCGCTCCAGCTTGACTAGTGTTCAGGTCTGACATAGCTCAGCATCATTTCTTTAATAGTCTATCCTAGTATTTTACAAAAGCTCTGGTCCATGGCTAGCGATGTTTTCTCTTAAATGGGAATTTACTACAATTAGCCTAGGAACGTCTGTTAAAGACTCAGAGTTTGCCCACACGTGAACCAATGAAACCCCTGTTTCTGAGCATGGGAACGAGTTTCAACAACATCCATCGGATTAGTTGCTTGAATAGTTCTTTTCCATTGTCAAGTTTGAGTGCTGCTATTTTACCAGGAAGCCCAGAGCCAGCTGTGTGATCAGCATGTTCTTCTTAGCATGGCACCACCTTTGGAAAGCTCTCTGGTTCAAGGACAAAAGATGTGGAGCTGGTTAAGAATATTTACTGCTCCTCCAGAGGACCCAGCTTTGATTTCCCAGCACTCACATCAGGAGACTTCCAACCACCTGTAACTCCAGCTCCAAGGAATCCAACACCTGCCCTCAAATGTAGAAATCTAGAGAGAGAGAGAGAGAGAGAGAGAGAGAGAGAGAGAGAGAGAGAGAGATTTGGATGGCGATACAGACGGAGACCCACATTGGAGCACCGGACTGAGCCCCCCATGGTCCAAATGAGGAGCAGAAGGAGGAAGAACATGAAAAAGGAAATCAGGACTGTGAGGAGTGCGTTCACCCACTGATACAAGGGGACAGATCTAATGAGAGTTCACCAAGGCCAGTTGGACTGGGACTGAACGAGCACGTGATCCAATCAGATTCTCTGAATGTGGCCGGATTCTCTGACTGTGGCTGGCCCGGAGTCTTTCTGAAAAGCCATTGACAATGACACTGGGACTTGTCTCCTCTGCATATACTGGATTTTTGGGATCCAGTCTGTTTGGAGACTCACCTTCCTGGACCTGTAGGGAGGGGGGAGGAACTTGAACTTCCCACAGGGCAGGAAGCCCTGACTGTTCTTAGGGATGGAGAGGGAGGAGGAGGGAGAGTGGAGGGAGTGGGAGGGTGTTGGGAGGAGGGGCGGAAATGGAAACTTTTATAATTTAATAAACTTTGAAAAAAAAAAAGAAAAGAAAAGAACCAAAGATATAAATGTCACAGTTCAGATATAGAGAACAGATAACTGTCCTTGTGGATTCAGTTATGTTACTGATGCATAGAAACAGGTTTTAAAAGATGACCTGTAGTACACCTGGGAGAGGGTTGAAAGGGAGGGGAGAGGAATGGAGGAGAGCAGAGGAAAAAATGTATAGTTCAATAAAATCAGTAAAAAAAAAAAAAAGAAAGAAAGAAACAGTCTAGACATGAAGCCATTGAAGAGACTCTTAAAACTTGTGATAGGGAAGCTGGAGTGTAGCCCTTCACAGCTGATGGTTTCTGGCTGGGCTGTGGGAGGGGAAGAACTCTGTTTTCTTAAAAGGACTGGCCACTGGCAGTTTGCCCATGCTCCAGCAAGTATATAGGCAACACAAACTAGACTTGATATTTTTCTCCTTCTCCTTGTATTTTGGAGTGAGTCATAAGCATCTGGGGGGACTGAGAAATGAATGTGTTTGGGGTGCGTTATGTGAATTTCCAAATAATAAATAAAATATTCATTTAAAAATATGACCTATAGTATGGTGACTAGCCTTTGTATAAATGAAACTTCTAAAGACACAAGAATGTCCCTTGGTATCTGGGGGAGAGTTTATAGGATACTATAGGCACCAAAGCACAGGAATTCAAGTCTTGGATATAAAATAGTATATTATTTACATAAAATCTGTACTTCTTCCCATGAATTTTAATCATCTCTAGATTTCATAACTCCTAATGTAATGAAAACGATATGTAAATGGCCCCTATTCTGTATCCTCAAGGCAATAATAACAAGAAAATAGATCTGTGTATGTTCAACACAGACTTGGTTCTTTCTGAATATTTCCAGTTGAATCCATATGTATGGAAGCCAGGAATAGGAAGCCTCAAAGGCTGTCAATCACTGATGAGAAGACACAGCAGCACAGCATGTGTAAGCTTGGGTGGCTGAAAGTAACTGATGCAAAGGTAAAAAATCACACAGCTAGACCAAAGAACGCATATCATTCCAGTTCCGTAGACTGTGGCGCTAGGAAGAATCCACCTGCTGGTATCAGACAAACCACAGAGATGCCAATTTGACAAGGATCAAAGATTTACTCCTCTTTATGTGGATGGCTTTCTCAATCACCAGACCAGTGTCTGCAGTGGGTTCCTACTGTACCACTGGATCACAGCAGCTGACAGAAACAAGGGAGGAAGGACTTATTGTGCCTCACAGTTTCATTAGGGTTTCTACACATCATAGTGGGAAAGGCATCATGGGCAAGACAGTTCAGATTCAAAGAAGACAACCCCTTATTGGTGATTTTACTCAAGGAGAGCAAATGCGCACAGAATCATTACTGCCACACAGGTGGAGGGACTAGTGTGGCATGTGTTACATGCCCTAATGGATAGATACCCCAGAGGTCATGTAGCAGGTGCCAACTCCTCATTCTCCGTTGGCCTTGCCAACATCAGTTCATTGAGGATGGTCCAGGGCAGGGATGGCATCTGGCTAGTGTGTGTGCTATGGTGGAAGAGAGAACTCTGATAGACCTGGGAAAGAAAGGAGAGGAACTAACCAGTGATGCAAACTTTTGACATCATTCTGGGGAAAAAAACTTCTCTTCATAGTCTCTGGGTCAGATATCACAGTACCCACCATGGTCTAGGGTTCTCAGCACAGAGAGGCAGGGTAGTCTCTCGAACAACCCTTTGTTCCCCTCTATGCCTTGCCTTCCAGGAAACCCTTTCAACTTCAACTTCTGGATCCCGCTTGGCCAAAGGAGGTTCCTTCGTTTTTCTCCCCAGCAGAGCTCATGCAGAATTGCTTTGATTTGGGATTAGTCTTGTTTTCTGGTACTGGGGACAAGCTCAGGCTTTTCCCATGCTAGACAAACATTCCATATTTCTAACCCTGGTTTTAGATTTTTGTGGTCCAAACATGGTTTAATTTCTTGGAAAATATGACAGTCCTCTGCAGGACAAGTCAGAGGTAACAGAAACAGCATGACTTTATATTTTGTTCACAATACGTAAGGACATCACTTTCAGAGAATGGATTACGTACACTTTTTTCATAAGTTTCAAGTGAATCAGACTTAGATTCACACACCTTTAATGCCAGAATTTCAGTAGTCAGTGGAGGAGGATCCACCTGATCCAAGGTCACCTGGGCCGCATAGTGAGGCCTTCTCTCAAAAATAGCTTCATGATGGTGGAGTAGAGAAAAGGAAGGGAGGGAGGGAAAAGAAAAGAAGAGCTAGCCTGAGTGAAGATCAACATCATTTAATGATGAGATTTTGTAGTTGTTTACTGGAAACACTTAGAATTGAAGACAGATTAATAGTGATAGCCTTAATGAGAATCGTAACCTATTGTCATTGTGGCAACTTAACCTGTATCCTAACTCACTGCACTCTGAGAACACAAGTTTGTGTCTAAATCCTGGACTCAAGCAATCCTCCTGTCCCAGAGTAGCCCAGGCTACATGGGTACCCCATGACATGTGGCTGGGAAACGTAATTTTGTTAACAATTTAACATTCTTAAATTTAATTTCTTAAAATCTACATCCCAACTTCATTGTATAGAGCTGTTACACTGTAGGATTCCACTTTAGAAAGTTCGGAAGAATGGTTTCTATTTAATGTATAATAAACTTTCATAATCAGATTTTTATAGCGTTTGTTTTTTCAGAACGTAACAGTCCTTTGGGGAATGCGCTTGTTGCCCGTAGCACAATAGAGTTATACATCACACGCTGGAGCAAGGTCCGCTTACGTTCAGTCTTATCCTTGCATGTCAGTTTTAGGTCTGCAGTAATAACTGAATAAGCGCAGGATTATATATTTATATACTCGTTCCCCCGTGAACCGCTCTTCACAACGGAAGCTGGAACACTGCGGATGCAAAGCATGTGTCTCTCCCCACAGTCATCCCCGGAAGCCGCCATAACTCCATGCCCTCTCCCCAGGAAAAGTCCCCCCCTTTCTTGGAGTCGCCCACTCATTGTATTTCCCTCTCCTTCCTCGTCAGGCATCCTCATCATGATGTCCTTGTGCAGAGAGGTGCACGTGTACGAGTACATCCCATCGGTCCGGCAGACGGAGCTCTGCCACTACCACGAGCTGTACTACGACGCAGCCTGCACCCTGGGGGCGTACCACCCGCTGCTCTACGAGAAGCTCCTGGTGCAACGCCTGAACATGGGCACCCAAGCGGATTTGCACCACAAGGGCAAGGTGGTACTGCCAGGCTTCCGGACCCTGCGGTGCCCAGTCACCAGCCCCAACAATACATACTCTTAAAATGGAACCCTTGGGAACTGATGTGCAATAAGGTACTACTGCTGTCCTCAGAGTCACAGAAGAATACTTGAAGATAGATTTAGGCAATGTGCTGTCTTTAACTGTAACTTAGTGGCCATGAGAATGCTTTCTATTCAAAGCCATTGGGTAACGATTACTGCTAGGAATACAGAAATGGGCCTTTAAAACCTTCCAAGAAAGATGCAAAAACAGGACGCAAAGAAAGAAATCAGATGCGTACCCATGGGCACGATACCTCTAAACATGTTAACCTCTGCAGCAGGGACACTCTATCACAGGTGGTTCCAGCCACAAGTTAGGGAGATACTACTGATAATACGGGTTCCATCTTAGAAATAGCCAAGTGGAGGTCCTGTCGGCCACTTGTCCATGCATTCCTCGCGAAGCAGCCTGGGTTCTGTGATGGCTGGCTGAATTCGCACCCAGGCCTGTTTAGATTCCTTCCGTGCATCTTGTCAGCCACACGGTTTTCAACCACGGCCTTGAAGCTCTGCTTTCCAGTGCTCGCTGGATGTTAGGACTGAGAAGTGGGCCACACTGAGAAAAGTCCAACTCATCCATCCCAAGAAGCCAACCCAAACCCCGGCTGCTAGGAAAAAGCAGTGTCTTTGTCCCCCTGTAGCTTCCCTTCCCTGGTCAGCAACACTTGGTGCACACACAGGCAGCAGTACGGGTGGTGCCTGCAGGCTCGTGACTGGTCAGGTGCCCGTCCCCTGGCTATTCCACTTTATGCACCTGGCCTGCCAAGGCACTCTGTAGCTGTCACATAGCCAGGACACGCAGGGTCACTACAGGTCAGCCAGAGGACACCCTTGTTCCTCCAAACTGTAAAGAGTAGGTTTGGAGTGCATACTCTGAACTGCAGGGGTACACTCCTGTCGTTTCTATGTGTCATTCCTGCAGGCTTTTCTCAGCTGTTCAGAACTTGGCCCTCACACGCTCTGAATGTCCCCCAGTTCTACTGACAAATGGCTAGGAGGTCATCCTTGTTTTTGTGGGGATGTTTTATGTTAACAATGTGATAGAGCAGAATGGCTTTTAACAAAGTATGTGTGGCAGAGGTATAGGCAAGAGAAAGTGTTCTTCCCAATGCGTAACTGTACTGAGATTTTCTAACCTAAGCTTGTATCACTAATACATCCTTTTGTGTGGGTTTTTTATTTGTTTTTCGATGAAGGTAGTGGAACATTTTAGAATTCTGTAATTAAACAGGCTGTTGTTTCCATATCAAATCAAAGCAACTCTCAGTGGTATAGTTAAGACGTTTTGGCAATGACAATAGTTTAATTAAATGCAAACCCCCTTGCAAAATGTGTGGCTATCCAAGTTTTGTAGAGAAAGAAAAAAAATTTGTTTCTCAATGAGTTTGTTGTGGAATGCTCTAAGGACTGCTTCCTAAGGAAGCATGGTTTTCTGAGCCCAGTAGCTTCTGTTTGGTTATTCGTCTCAGCAGAATGGAAGCAGGTTACAGACATCCCTAGAGGCTTGCTCCGGCAGTTAATTGAGTAGAGTCAGGGTTTTAGTTATGACTGCATCCGCTGAGAGCCCATTCTGAATCCCACAGCTGAGCATCATCTGGTCCAGCCGTGCAGTCTCACAGAAGCTTGGCCCTGTTCCCATGTTGACCTGTCTAAGCCTGTCTGTAACTCTGTAGGAGGAAGCCCCGGTGTTGGATGCATATTTACGCCTGGAGTCCTTGGATATTTCTAGGTCTTCCAGGCTTTGCCATTTTAAATGCTCACAACCATTAAGTTTCCTTTTGTAGTCCTGAAGGGGATTCACTTACAGGCATACTTATTATCCTGGACAATCCCCATTGGTGGCGTGAGAATTTGGTTAGAGAATAACTTATTGAAGTCAGTGTAAATATTCAAGTTCCAAAGCCCCACAAAACACTTCAAAGGTGGTTAAAGAGCATTCTGTTGTCACACATGTACTTTTAAAAGGCGGCTCTCAGTTTTACAGGGGTTACAAGGAGACCACGGAGCATAAAGGAAATTTAATTAAAGTTTTTGAATTTATTATGGCCCTAAAGACTCTTGGGACTCAGAGTCTGTTAAACATTCAGAAGATGTGGTGCCCATATTCACATACTGTTGGCTGTGCACTCTTGTATTTAAACGTTTAAGTAGCTTAGCCCCTTGCAAATGTCACACAGTGATGGCTAATGCGATGGCCGCTTCTTGTATTAGCTAAATGGGTCCCAAGTGGCAGTGTTTTGCCAGACGTTGATGAAATGCTTGCACACCACATTTACCAACCTGCAGTGAACCCCACAGCAGCTGTGGAAGAGCCACACTAACCGGCCTGCCACCTCATTTCTGGCTCTGGCTCTTCCAAAAGTGTCCGACCTCTTCTGTGAAGGGACTCTGGTTAGAGCCCCATGGTGCCACCAGAAGCCACCAGGTGCTGCTTTCTCCACCCTCAGGTCTGAGAGATTTCGCATTCCTTTAGGTTGCAAGAAATATCAACACTCTGTTTCTTCTTGTTGTTTTCTCCATAGAAAAGACACTAGTGTTGTCCAAGAATAACAATTCAGTCACTTCCAGATTCTCTCGCACTTGTGGCTCACTGTTCACACGAGGCCAGAGATAATGTATAATGAGGATGCTGAACCACAGACAACTCCATGAAATATCAGGACTGGGCCAATGTCACTGACCATGCTCCCCACATCCTCACAAACAGTTCTATGAAGAACTCTGAAAAGAGAAGTATTAATCAAATAAGAAGTTGCATGCAGCATCTAAGATGTGCTTCAATAGGCAAGTTAGGGGCTTGAGTCCATGTGCAATGCTGTATCTTTTCCTACCTGATCTCTGAGCTCTAGCTGCTTTGCTTCAGAAATGGGACTTTGCTTGTGTCTTGACCTCACGGTCTCTCAGCCAGCCAACCTGGACTCTCTGGTAGTCCTCTGTCATTGGAACCATAGCATCCAAGCAAAAGAAAGCAATGTTATGTTGTCATTACTGTTTTCAGAATTGAGTATCAAAAGGCCTGGCTTACTCTATCATATTTATGAGTTAGTTCATCTGCTAGACCAGAGTGAGCCCATGTTGCCAGCTGATCATACTCACATTTTCTGGATTAAGGGGGCACCACTTGGGTGCCTCAAGTTGCATTGTCTCCCATAAGTTATGCTATGATAAAAAAAAAGTTGTGTGCACCAGTGACTCGGTGAAGTTGTGCCAGATTTTCTTAGGACACATGGTACACTAGTCTCCAGACCTGTCCCGGCTCACTGTCTGTTTCTGTTTCTGGTTTTCTGATAGTCCGAATGCTACTCCACGGCTCTGTGTAGACATGACTAGCTTAGGTAAAATATGCCTGCATCTCAACACGCTTTTTCTATCTGGACATTTGCATTGTGAGATCATTCTACATTCCTGTCACTCAGGCTTTGTTTAGACACTCGGTGAGTGAGCAGCATGTCTCTAGCAGCTCAAGAAAATAAAATACAAGTCCTGGTTCTTGTTTTGTTAAATGAATAAAGCCTTCAATAGCAAAAGAAACACAATATGTTCTCTACAGGATTAGGGTAGTGGCGTTTGAAGAGTTAAGGCTGCTGATAGAGTTCTTATTCTTAACCTAAGAGTGTGCACGTAGATAGTTATATAACTGTATATATACTTATCTACACACATGGTAGGTTTTTGTATTGTCTTTTTCATTCATCTTTATGATAAAAACTTTACAATAAATTTTATTTTAATTTTTAAAACACTAATTTTTAAGAGAAGGAAGCAAATATTTTATGTCCTTCTGCTAAAAATAACCCAGTCTTCTGCCCTCTGCCCGCCTCCACACACACACACACACACACACACACACACACACACACACACACTGCCGTTCTACTTGTCATGGCCACTTTAACAAACAATGAATGAACATTGAAAGGTAGAATTCATAGAACCATTACCCAAGTGTTGTCTTTAGTCAGAAACCTGATATAACTGAATTTTTGAAGACTCTTTTGACTGCCCATGCTTTTTACAAGATTAAGGGAAGAAACAGAAACCTTTGTTGATTCTCTGGAAAACAGATTTCAACAAAGCAAGTGCAACAGTAGTGTTTAAACCTAAGTTTACAACACCTGCCCTGTTTTGCTCTAGATAAATCCTTATGGAATCTTTCTGCTGGAAACCAGTGAACTTTTTTAAAGGCTTTGGGAATTCTTTTTGTATGATAATTTTTAAAACAAAACGTGTTCTCTTCAAACTAATTAATGGCTTGAGGTTTTCCAAGAAACGCATTTTAGAAGTGTTTGTACACATTTTAACACTTGGATATTTTCTATTTTGGTTTTGTATATTTCTATGTGTACACAGTGTACAGACTTGTAAATAAAACATGTTTTCATTTATCTTGAAGTGTCTCTGTCTTAATCTGGAAATGTTGCACACACAAGTGAGTGAGCAGCCATGCAGTCCTTCTGGAGATGCATAAGGCATTGAGGCCCACTGGGCCTGGAAGGGGAAGAGCAGAACCAGTGACCACAGACCTCCCGAGTGTGCACAGGGTTGCAGCATGGTCAGAAACCAGAGACAGATCACATTCAGATCACGTTTTCTACCTGGTAAATTGTCACGTGCATAAAAATGGCAGAGGTAAGAATCGAGTAGAAACACATGTTTTAGGCTAATATACCTTTTTTTACCATTAGAATCAAGTGTTTTTGATCAATTTTATTATGCTTCCCACTTAGCAGGCTTTAATGTTAATCTAGCCTTGGTCTTCACACCTACCACGGAAAGGAAAAATCACCTGATTAGGTCCTGAGACGTCATCCCGGGGTCATTTGTAGTTTTCCAGCCAGAACGTGAAGGAACCCTACAGTCACAGCAATGCCAGCATTTGCTGTGAAGACAGACATGGGCAGTTGGAAAGCTCAGGAAGCCTCAGTCCCTGGGGGCAGCTGTAATGACTTGTAGAAGACTCCTCTTCTTACACCATTAACCATTTCTTTTCCCTCATAAAATGATAGTTTTCCTCCCAGATTATTAGAACTGGCCTTCCATGCTGGGTGGAAGGTTGCTGCTACATGCTCAGAGGCAGCTGATGGTTTAATGTCAAGCACATGAATAGAAGATTGGTGGTTAGAAACAAAATGGCCCTCAAAGGGAGTGGCACTAATAGGAGGTGTGGCCTTGGAGTAAGTGTGGTCTTGTTAGAGAAGCCTGTCACCATCAAGGTGGGCTTGGTGGTCTCATGTATGCTCAAGTCATTCCCAGAGAGATAGTTCACTTCCTGTTGCCTTCAGATCAAAATGTAGGACCCTCCGCTCCTGCACCATATCTGCCTGCACACCACCATGTCCCACCATAATGATAATGGCCTACACCTCTGAAATTATAAGCCACCCCTTTAAATATTTTCCTTTGTAAATGTTGCCATGGTCATGATGTCTCCTCACAGCAATAGAAACCCTAACTAAGACAGAGATCCTGTGCTTGAGATCCCAATGCTGCTTGAAGAATCTGGAAAGAAAGGAATTGGTTTAGATAGGTCAGAGATGAAGAAGGAAACAGATTTTCTAAACTAACCAGTGGTTTGGAATTACTCAATTTACTCACTAGGAACTATACTTGGACTTAGTATTTGGATTTTTTTTTCCAGTCTAGATCTATGGTATCCAGTCCTCTCTGGCAACCCTGGACAGGGTTACAGCCACAGTTTTAGTGTCCTGTGATCAACCAGTGGAATGGGGTCACACTTCAGCCCCTGCAGTGGACTTTGCTGCTGAGCTACGGCTATACAGGCTAGGAACTCTCGGCATTTTTTTTAAAGGAGGAGAGAATGGAAACAAATAGGACCAGGGAGCAGGAAGTAAAAAATAAGTGCTGGGCTCTCTGATGTCACTTTCAAACCCAAGTCATTAGCTCAGACACAGAAAACTAGCCCCTCACTGAAGACGCATGCGCTAACCAAGCCGACTGCAATAGAGTGCTGGACCAGGAATCCCAGTGTACAGAACTTGATGGGGATGCCCACTTCCCTAGGCGGATTCTTCTGCCCCCTCATTCACTCTCCTGCCACTGGCTGACCTGAGTCCTGAGTATGGAGGTCTTGTAGCCAATTCAACCCAAAATATCATTTTCTGGCTCGTTACAGAAAATAGTTGCTGATCCCGATCCGATCGGAAATACAGTGTGCCCAGAACTCTGAACCAGAGGGTGTGGGTACAATTCTCACAAAAGCATTTTCCAAGGCAGATTCTGTTACCTCCAGGAAAGGTGGGGTCTAAGAGGTTAAGCCATCGGCCTACCATCACACAGCTGGGAAATGTCGTGGAGGTTTATAAGCCTACAGTCTTCGTCTGATTTCAGAGTGCATGTTGGGAACTAGGACACTAGTCATTTAAAGCAGCCTACCTCCCAGCCCCCACCCTCCCCTCCACCCCCCATGAACGGCTTCCCTAATCCTTGACAGTCCCACTGCCCAGCAAACCAAAGGCTCATTTTTGTAGGGACTCTACTAACTCTACACGATGACATTTCAATTAATTGAAAGATCAGATATTCAATTCTATGAACCATATAGTCACTGTGTAGGGGGCTGTACCTTCTAGGTATGTTTAAATACACACTAATGTTGAAACAATGAGAAAACTGCCTAATGATGCATTTCTGAGACCATATCTCTATTATTTAGCAAGATGTGACAACTTCGCATATTGGGAAGAAGTTATGTTTTGAAATTTATGGATAATCAGAATTTTCCAGTCCTCTGAATCCCCAGAGCTTTGATATGGGATCTGAACTACATGTACCAGACAAGTACACATCTTACTCTCATACAAAAAGCTGAAATCGCATTTCCATAACCTAATAAAAAGTAACTCCACGTGTAGCTGGCAGAGACCACCATTAAGTGACACTCCATAGCTCTTTCCCTCTATCCTAACTGAACTCAATCATAATCAGGGAAACAAGTCAAGATAACTTGAAGACTGAGGTTCCAGCTTAGACACTCAGATCAGAAAGGTCAATGTATGGCAGAAATCAACAATACTGGGAAATGCAGTACCTTCTGTCCTCATTGACTTCGTTAGCATCCTGAGGGGAGAGGAGAACACGGTAACACAGGGATTAAAACAACAACCCATGTTGAGGCGGCATGTTTAAAAAGAGGCTGGTGAAGGCATTAGAACCTGAAATGGAGAACCATGGGGCTCTGGAAGAACCAAGAGATAGACGGTCTCCTGATGAAGTTCACAGACATCCTAGCTCAGTACAGTGAGAGCCAATGGCAGTTAATAACGTGTATGAGAACCACTACCAAGCAGATCTGCCACTGAAGAAGATCCTGCAAGGATCAGAAATGCTTTTCTTTTACCAAGAAGTCCATATATAAACCCAGAATTTCCATGCAGCCTTGGAGTTAAAAACAACAGCTCTATGCATCCAGAGAAGGGTCACCCAGATTGAGGCCAGACTCTAAGGAATGGGCCTTAGCCTGGTAGCCAGAGCTGACCTACATTTACAGCTGCTTACACTTGAGCCCACTTTAAAATATCTCTAAGAAGTAGGTTAACCTTATTTTTATAAAATTTATTTCCTACGTTGGATCTTTCTTACAAGACAAGCCAAAAAAACTGTCAAGTTTTCCAACACATGGTTAAAGTCTACCATATTCCAAGCTCCCTTTAGCAGTACTTATGTGGAATTTGGA